CAAGCCCGTGGACGAGCACCAGCAGCTGCCCTTCCCCGAGACCGGCATCGAGCTCGCTGGGCACGACCGCGCGCGAGGCTCGCCCCAGCAGCGAGCCCGTGGGGGCCCCGCGGCCGCGGCAGCGCCGGAGCCGCCGCGCCGCGGCGCTGGCGACCCGCCTGGCGACCCGCCGCGGCGCTGGCTCCGAGGCCGCCCCGCGGCCTCGGAGGCGCTGGCGACCCGCCTGGTGGGGGGCGGGGGGCCGCCGGCGCACGGCCCCTCGCGCGCGGGCGGGGGCTCTCCTGGCGCGGGCGGCGCCGCCGGCCTCGCCGAGGCGCCCGCGAGCGAGCTGGGGCGGGGCCCCCCCCCTCGGCCGAGGCCGGGCGCCGTCGGGGGCGCCGAGCGGCGCGGGCGGGGCGCGGCGCCCCCCTGCCACGGGGCGCGCCCGCGGAGAAGGAGGCGCAGGAGCCGCGTCTCTGGGCGGGGTCGGCGGCGCCGGCCGCGAGCTGTGCCCCGAGCCCGCGCGGCCCCCTCGAGAGGGCACGCCCGTGCGCCGACGCTGGGCCGCCCGGCGGGAGCGAGGGCCCACGGGGGCCAAAGGAGGAACGATAAATGTTGAACAGGGAGCGGCCGATCCAGCAACCCTCCAGGCCTACCACGAGACGTCCTCAGAACCCAGAGGTATGCTAAGAACAGAAGCGCTGTTCTTGGAACGTAGACCCGATGTGTTGAAGCAGGACAAACCCAGCCAGGAACGTTTTGATAACATTTCGTGCAGACCACGACAGGATATTAGAACATTAATTCGTTGGTGGGCCCATAGGCGAGCCAGGACGCTTCGCCACTGCTTGAGAAGGAGGAGTGATAATGCGGGGCCTGGCGCCGTGTCACGGAGCTCCGCGAGGGTGCCGGCGAAATCCAAGCCGAGCGCAGCGGGTCAAAGCAGTGGCAGCAAGGCCCCTGGGCTGAACCACGTGGCCGAGACTGCAATCACTCATCCATTCGCAGGGCGGGCTCACGGACACGCTCTCGCACAAGAGCCCAGCAACTGCAGAGCCGGCCAGAGACGCAGTTGCAGACCCCCGCGACAGTTCCCACGGAGACCTGAGCCTCCAGGATCAGGCCGTCGCCCGAGACAGCTCACTCCCCGCGCAAGGTGAGACGCCACCGATCACCACGAAGAGGAGCCCCATCGCCAAACGACCAGCTGCCCGAACGCCCCGATGGGCCCGATCCTCGCCCACGCCCAATGATCCAACTGCCCGAGCCGTGCGCGCGCAGGTGTTCCTACAGGGCGTCGACAACCAGAACGCCCCACCCGCCCCCTGTCCGGCTTGGCCCAGCACGGCCCCCGCAATTCCCCAGCCGCGCGGGCCGGCGACCGCGGCACAGCAAATTGGGAGGCAACTACTGGGAAGTTCTCGTCGGATGGATTGAAGAGGATTAAGCCCCATTGGGGGGCTGCTGCGCCGAAGTGGGCCGCAGATGAAGCGGGATCAAGCCGGGTCGAGCGGGATTTAGCCAGAGTGAACGGGATTCGGCCGGATGAGACCAGTTTCCGGACCAGGGCAACGTCAGAAATGGACCTCCCAGGAGTTGCACCCGAGAACACGAGCATGATGCCAGGGGATCAAATCGAACCCGGCCCAGGCGGAACACCGCTCTGGCGGCGCACCCGGCCCGGGAAGGCGCAGTAGCCCATGGAGTGCAATCGACCCGTATCATACGGACGCACGGTGAGGGCGCAAAGGCCTTGGAAGGGCGTGTCGAAGCTTTTCGAGCGCGGCGCGGCCAGCGAAAGCGGCCAAGGATGGGTCGAGGAGGCAAGGATGCAAGGGCACCCTTGGAAAGTTCGTCCATCCTTACTATGCGGGTTGACTGTACCTCGAGCTCACGTTCACCTAGGCGTCACGAGGCCAAGGCCCGCAGGAGCCCAACCCGGAACGCACCTCCCCATGGCCGATGCCGCTCAACATCGGGCCGCGCGCCCACTTGCAGCGGCGCCCCCGCCGTCGTCGCCGAAGTCGCGAAGGCCGAGTTCGCTCTCGTCGAACGCGGCCGCGGTCACGGCGCGGGCGACACCCGCGCAGACGGAGTCGAGCGAAACGAGCACCGCGTTGTCGACGTTGGCGAAGCACGACGAGGACTTCGCCGACAGCGCGATGGAAGGGCCACAGGCCGGTGGCCACAATGCCAGACGCGACAGCCAGCGCCCTCTCCACCACCCCAAGATTCGGAACCTGGGCGAAGAGCAGGGGCCGCGTCCACCCCACCAGTGGCACCAAAGCGCGCGACCACGTGAAGTCGCCTATCTCCGCGGTCGCCCCGTCGACTGGGCGCCCGACGACGGCGCGCTCATCGGGAAGCGGCACGCGGCTGGAGCAGCCCTTACCGTCCGCCTCTGCGAAGAAGACGTGAGGCGAGGGCACGTCCGCTTCGGCGTCCCACCCGACGCGGCCCCGGCCCTCAGCGGCGAGCAGCTCCACTCATGGCGGGGCGGCGAAGCGCTGGCTGGACCAACGGCAGCCCAGGACCATTGTCACGGACATCCGCTCCATCTCCACGAGAATGGCTCCTCGTGTTACAACGACAACGCGACGAGCGCCATATCCCTGTCAGGTTCGTGGACGCGGCGCAGCGTCGTCGGCTGTTGGCGCGCAGCGGTTCGGCGCCCATTTCAAGATCACCGCGGGAATCACGATCAAGCTGGGCCTCCTCCTCCTCCTCCTCCTCCTCCTCCTCCTCCTCCTCCTCCTCCTCCTCCTCCTCCTCCTCCTCAGCCCTGGTCATCTGCCCGAAAAACAGAGGAAGCGACGGCCGGCTCAGTCGAGACGCCGCAGTGCCGTGGGGCCACGCCGCGTTGAAGGGCCCCAGGGTGGCGCGGGCCACCTCGGCGCCGGTGACCTTGCGGCCTCGAAGTAGCCAAGCGCCGGCCTCCTTCGCCGTGGAAGCACGAGTGCCACCGCCGTAGAGCTCGGCGCCCAAAGCGACGCGCCCGAGATAGCCCTGCAAAATGCCGCGGCGCTCTCGGATGCCGAAATGGCGACGCCCCGTGCTCCACGACCAACTAAGATACCAAACGCGCTCACGCCACAGTCAACCCGCATGGTAAGGATAGTCAAACTTCCCCAGTGCGCCCTTGCATCCTTGACTCCTCGGTTCATCCTTCACCGCCGTCGCTGGACACGCCCCGCTCGAAAAGCTTCGGCATGGCCTTCCAAGGCCCCGGCGTCCCTATCGCGCGCCCTCATGGTGCGGGTCGACGGCGCAGGGAAGTTCAGGCGCGAGAGGACATGGACTCAACCTCGGTCTCGGCCCCGGCTGGCATTCTTGGCCATGTAATTTGGCGGCGAGCGAGGAGGGGACATGAGATGGAGAAGGCCTTCTCAGAAGGCGGCGGGCCTTCTCGGATGCCCTCGCGCATGCTGAGAAGTTGTGCGTGCCTTTGGAGAGCGCTTACGAAATTTCTCAGACGGCCAGGGAACTTCCGAGCCTGAGAAGGCCTGCCCCGTCTCACTTCCCCCTCTCGCTCGCTGCCGAGTCGCGCTCGAGCTCTGGCGCCGCCGTGCCCACGGCCGCTCCGACGCCTGAATCGAACCAGTCGTCGGACGACTGCGGTCGGGACGGGTCGTTGGAGCAGGCGTCGACGCTGCTTTGGGTCCGTCTCGCGATGCTAGCGGCGCCAGGGGCGACGTTTCAGTTGAATCTGACTTCCACCAACGCCGAGGACTGTCATGGCACACCCTCTCGCAGGCGCCGATGTTCCTGGCGGGAGCCCAAATCTCGAGACACACACACATACACACACACACACACACACTCATGTTGCCGCCACGGCGTCCAAAGTGCCGAAGGATATGCAATGAGCCCGAAGAAAATTCGACCTGGCGATGCGGGACGTGGCTGGGTAGCTCTCGAAGACGTCGGCTCTCCACATCTTGCGCCCAACCTGCTGGGCGTCGGCGCGCGCGGCATGCGGACGCCCCCGGCTGTTCCAGGACCGTCGAGGCCCCGAGGAGGGGCGGCGCCCGCGACAGCAGCCCCGACCGGCAGGATCACGTGGCGGGCGCCCCAGTCGACGGGGCGCCCACCCGCGCCTCGGGCGGCCACGTCGAACGACGAGGCCGTCAGCGAGGCGCACCAGTTGGACGGGCACCAGCTCGCCGTGAACCTCGGCGACGCCCGCGCCCATGCACAGCCGAAAACATGATCAGGAAAACCGTCGTCCAGCAACGCTCCGCCGTGAACGCTGGAGGGGCGAGTGCGCTCAAGAAACTGGGCCAGCTGCCCAGCAAGTTGGCTCACAAACGCTGGCCCAACTTCTCGGGATAAGGTTTCTCGATCATATGCCCGTCGGCAGTGCGTCGAGCCCTGCTCGACGTTGACCTCGGCGACACCTGTGGGCATCAGGGTACCTAAGCCCCAAGCGAGGCGAGCTCGTCGGCCACGCCCAGCGGCGGGTGGGCAGGCGGCGGCGGAGGCGGCGCCGCGGTCGCCCGGGGCCCATCCAACGCGGCGGCAGGGGAACGCTGGCAGCAGACGGCTGCGGGCAAAGGCATTAGCTCGCCCTTCCTCCGCGAGAACGCGCGTCGCGTCTGCCAGCACCGCGCGATCGGGGTCGACGGCGCGCAACGATCCGGGCACGAGCCTCGGCGATCGGGCTGGGGAGCCTGGCGTCTGAAGGCATCTTCTCGAACTGCACGACTGCGGTAACATCATCGCGCGCCAGCCGCGGGCTCCTCTGCGACATGCAAGTCGGCAGAGGATCCCTCGTGACCGGGCCACATCAAGATCCTCTCGTACCGAGAGCCAAGGCTGGCATGAAAGTCGACAATCAGCTGGGTTCCCCGCAGCCCATATCGTTCCGTCGCGCACAGCTCGCGACAGAGGGTCTGACCGGCGCCAGCAACTGCAGCAGGCCAGCACAGGGCCCTCGAACACACTTGGCGCAAATGACACTGTTCTTGCCTCCTCGACCAAGATGCCCAGCTACGAGACCTACCACCGGCGAGGGCGACGACGCCCTCTCCTCGCTTCCGCCGCAGCGTCGGACCCGCGATCTGACGCGGGAAGGCCGTCTCCATCTCGATGCGGTGCCGCAGCAAACTGAGGGCCAGGAGCCCGTGCTCGGAGAGCCCGCTGAAGTGGTGCGGCCTGATGCAGTCGATGCCAACCGCAGCCGCCTTCATGAAGCTTCCCGCCGCGTCCAAGATCTCCAGCGGCGTCGGCGCCTTCGGCGCCATATCCAGCTGCCCCATCAGGCAAGATTGCCTCGATGCTGAAGCTCTCTTTCCCGTGGAGCCACACCTGCTGGTACTCCATCAGCGCCCTCAGGGGTCCTGCCACTCCTGCTGGCAGACCGCGCTCGGCCACGTCGGCCGCCCAGCCCCGCAGGCAAGACAGGAACCACGTGCTGCTCCTGCTCCGTCTCGCACCGCTGACGACGCCCATCCTTTTCCAAGCCTCGGTTCGAGCCGCGGCCGCCCTCGCGTCGAATGCTCGGGCCGCTCGGCGCGCGCAGTCCTCCAGGGCACACAGCTCGTCGAAGGTGAGCTGCCCCGCCGCTCTCAGCTTGCGGGCCAGGCCCTTCTGCTGCGCGAACTTCGGGGTCGCCCCCCTTCCACCGTGGCGGGCTCGCTCCTCTTCCGACCAATCAGACCAGCCAGGCAGGCCCTCCTCCAGCAGCGCCGTGATCCCCCCGTAGAGCTGGTCCAGCGTGGCCGCCGCCTCGCCCGGCTCCTCGCCGCGCTGCCAGCCGCCCCTCCAGCGGCGGCTCGCCCCCCCAGCCTCGCGCCGGCGGCGCTCGAAGGACCCGCGGGCACCTCGGCTGCCTTATCGTCCAGGCCGTCGACGGAGAACTGTCCGTCGTGGGTGTCGTCCCGCGCGCTGTCTTGCTGGGAGGCGTTGGCGTTCTCCGTCGCGTCCCCGCGCAGGCCGTTCGTTGTCCGCGTCCGTCCAGCTCTCGTCGAAGTTCGCCCCGGCCTCTCGCAGCGACTCCTCGTCGAAGTCAACCTGCATCCGGTGGCCAACTCCAATGGCGCTGGCCAGCTCTGCCTGCCGAGCACGCGAGGCGTTCCGCACTCCGAGGGCTTCCTCGGGGCTCCGTCCAGCTCTGCGTGGCGACTGCGATCCTGAAGCGTTCCCTCTCGCGGGGGCTTCCTCGGGACTTGGCGCTCTGACGCGACGACGTCCCCCACGGCCCCCCGTTGCGTCGTGCTCGAAGGAGCTCGCTCAAGCCCGACGCGGACGAGGATCAATGTGCGCTGTGATGGTAGTCTCCTTGACTCCCCACTGCGCCGCGGGCTTCGCCCCCTCCGGCCAGGCATTCATCGAGCTCTCCAGCGCCTGGACCGCGTGGGCGACCGCGATGAGCTTGTCCGCGCGCGGTGGGAAGGGGCGCGGCCCCCCTTGCCCGGCCGCGCACCGGCCGTCACGACCGCAACAGCTCGAGACGCGGGCCCCGCCAGAGACCTGCCCGCAGGGCAACCAACCGCCTGCGCAGTAGGGCTGCCGCCAGGAGGCCCCGACACGACGGCCTGCAGGCCAGGGGGGGGGGGGGGGGCTAGGCGACGGAGGCGCCAGCCGCCGTGAAAGAGACGTCGACCCCACCTGCCATCAGGGAAGCATGCGTCGGAATATGCCGAGGATCTTCTCCAACTTCTGTCGGCGCCGCCCAGCAAGTCGCCGTTTCTCATCAGGCGTGGTCCTGCAGTACCTGATGAAGTAGGCTTCGCGCCGACACGCGCTCTGCCTCCGCGCGCTGGCGCGCAGGCCCGCCAGGATCGAGGTCAGCGGCCGCCCGGGGAACCAGCTCAGCAGCATGGCCCGCAGCGGGGGGCGCCTTCCCTGTCCCAGTCCCACGCCCAGGTAATCCTGCCAGGCCTGGCCCCGCCCCGGCACCGCTGGCGGCGGCGCCCCCGCGGCGGCGGGCGGCTGGCCCGCGCCCGAGGGCTCTGCGACCGAAGGCGCCCGCCGTCTCGAAAGGGTTCTCGACCTACACTCCGTCAGCCCCAGCTCGCCAGCCCCAGCTCAGCGCCACGCGCGATGCGATGGCAGTCCCCGCGAAACACCACTGCCCCATAGTCGTCGCATCCGCTGGTCGCGCCGCCCCCAAACGCCTCGGCTTGTCTTGCGACCCCTGGCCTGCGCAGCTCGCCTCCACGTGGGAATGGCGGCGCCCGCGGCGGCCCCTCGGCCCCAGGCCCCGCGGCGGCCGTCGCCTCCGCGGCGCCTCGAGACGCGGGCCCCGCCAAGGGCCCGCCATTAGGGCAACCGTCTGCTTGCGCAAACGGACTGCCACAAGGAGGCTCTCCCGCGACGGCTCGCGGACAGGGGTCGGGGGGGGGGCTCGTTGCAGCGGTCGGTCTGCTCGATGCGCCTGCCTGCGCCGCGCCCAGGGCGGCGATCTCGCCCTCGCAGGGGCCGCCTGTGGTGACCACGCGGCGACCGCGGCCCGACCTCGCGCACGGCGGCTGCCGCCGCCGGCCGATCGACCTGTCTGCTCGGTAGACAATCGGCACTCGGTGGAACAAGGCCCTCTCCGTGACCCTGGCCCCGTCCAGCCTCAGTCTCACTGGGCTGTGCGGGCCCAGGGTCGCCCGCGGCCTCTGCGCCCCTTCTGGCCGCCGCGCCCAGAATGCTGAAGACCGCGGAGCAATCGATCTCCGCGCCGCCCCCGACTCGGCAGGCGGGCCGCCCCGCGCTCGCCGCGGAGCCAGAGCCTCGGTCAGGCCAGCCCCATGCCTCCAGCACCTGCCGCGCACAGTTACAGTCGCCTCCGATCACCAACGGGGCCCGCGCGGCCTCGAGGCACTGCCCCAGCTGGGCCAACAGCACCCAGGCCGCTGGCCACCGCCAGATAGAACGAGATAGACAGGAAGCCACCAGGCGCAATCGCGCTGATCCAGCGCGCGCGACCATGCGTTCCGCGGGCAGCGGCGGGCCATCAGGCGCCCATTCCATGCCCCGGTGGGCCCTGCGCGCCAGTCCGACGCCGCATGAAGGCCCGCCCTGGTCGGCGCGCCTCGTCTCCGTCAGCGCTGCTATCCAGCCCTCGCGGCGGTGGGCCTGCTCTGCCTCCGCCTTGGCGCCCGGGGCCGCGCCAGTCTCCTATGGATGAATGGCGCCCCCGTCGGCATCCTCACGCAGCCAGCGCAGAATGCTGGACTTGGACGCAGCGCTGGCTGCGTCAAGCCTCCGGCGCGCGCCTGCGCAGGCCGTCTGGCGCAGCCTCTGGGCCCGAGCCTCCGCAGATGGATTCC